AAGCAGAGTACATGGCGATTTCAGATTGTAGTCGCCAGGTGATGTGGCTAAAGAGCGTCCTTTCGGAACTCCAGTTCAAGCTCACCATCCCAGTACCCATTTGCGGTGACAATCAGGGTGCACTCTTCAGTGGCAGCAATGCCTACCGAGACCGCAGGATGAAACACATAGACATCCGCTATCACTACATTTGTGAGCGAGTCGAGGAAGAAGAGGTTGAACTGTTCTTTATTCCGGGCAGTGAGAATCCTGCAGATATGTTCACCAAGAACCTAGGACGCGTCAAGTTCGAGAAGTTCAGATCTCAACTGGGACTTGAGTTCAACTCGTCCTGAAGGAATGGCCGATGAAGATTTCGCTTTCAAAACACTATCCCGTGGTTTTCAGCATGGGGGAGTGTTGATCAAATATCATCTGTCAAGATGGATGTCGTGATACACATCTATGACTGCATCACGTGTCATCTAGAGTCATATCGACTCGTTCCAAATAGACACAAACGGCCCCCTGTATCATATATAAGGAGGGCTCTATTACCCTATAATACAAGTCTCTTGACTACTCCCGCATAGTGCCCACACTAAGCTCTCACTCACACAGGTGAGCTGCTAGACGCTCTCCCCAGTGCTCAACAATGATATTATTCAAGACATGATGTCAAAGCACCATACAAAGTGTAACAGTCAGAAGGACCATATCCTAGCGCACTGTCGCCAAGAGCTCTTTCACGCGGCTTGGAGACTTCTCCTGGACGATGAATTCCTTCATGCTTACAAATACGGAATCATAATCATGTGCTTGGATGGGGTAGAACGGCGGGTATATCCCCGATTCTTCACATACTCAGCAGATTATCCCGAAAAGTAAGTCAGTGCCGTCTCATGAAACAAGATTTGGGGAACTGACTCCCATTGGTGTTAGAGTTCTTCTAGCCACCATCCGCAACAATGGACTCTGTCCGTGTCTGAGATGTCTAGTGGAGAAGAAAGAAACTCATAAAATGGGTCTAGTGTTTGATATGTCAGCCAGAACGGACCGAGCCCGCCACTTCCTCCGAAGCGTTGTCGAGTCTGCTCGATCCTTCATTTATCAAGGCAATGGCGGAGTTCGAGCGGCACCAGTGGAGTGCATGCTGCAGGAAACGTCCTCCATCCCCACTATTGTACGTCTTTGTGTTCAGTCTCTGGAAGAGTATCTGACACTGTTTACATCAGAACGCGTTCATTGACCGACTAGGAGAGAACTTTCCACTGCATCGTATGCTTGTGGTGGATTTCTTGCACGAATTCGAGCTTGGTGTTTGGAAGAACCTATTCACGCACCTGATCCGGTTACTTTACGCGCTCCCAAATGGTCAAAGTCAGGTTGCAGAACTCGATCAGAGGTAAGTTAGCATTTTGCGCTCATCATTTTCGTCTTACTGACTGTTCTGTGTCAAAGATATAGGGCCATGCCTCGTTTCGGTCGGGATACCATCCGCCGTTTTGCGACAAACACCTCAGAGATGAAGAAACTCGGCGCTCGAGACTTCGAGGACCTTCTTCTATGTGCCATTCCCGCCTTCGACAGCCTCTTTCCGCCCGAGCATAATCGACGCGTTCTCAAGCTGTTGTACCGCATGGCCGAATGGCACACCTATGCTAAGCTCCGGATGCATTCAGACCCGACTCTCGAACGCTTGTCCGAGCTTACTACGGAAATTGGGAAGCTGACTAGACAATTCAAGGCGGCTGTCTGCTCAGAGTATCAGACAGTCGATGTCAGGGGACGCCGCGCTCCTTGGGCACGTGACCATGCACGTGACCCACTGCACCCTCTCTGCCGACCCGTGCCTGCTCACCTGTCGATCACCCAGCCTCCTCCTCCTCCTCCGATCCTCATCTCCATCCATGCCGACATCCGCCCTCTCCCTTCTTCCCCCGGCCATCTCCCTCGAATCCCCGCAAGCGGTCTAGCCAAGCCCGATTCCTTGCACCAGGGAGTGCTACTGCCGTATGCACTCCTCCCCCTTCACTTCGGCCTTCTCCCCGCGGATGTGGTCGACTGCTGTATAGGCTTGCACCAGATGCCCTCGCGCTCATCCGCACCACCCCTCTTCCCAGTCAGGCATTGGTCCTCGCCTCCAATGTCTCCACTGGCCGGCCCGGCACTGGCCTGGCCGCTGGGCTCCTCCAGTGTGGCCTTCCACTGTTGGTGTCTCAGGAGCTGGCCATCACTGGCCCCTCTGAGCCACTCACTATCTTATCTGGGTTTGTCATTATCTACTTGTCATCTGCTATTGTTCCATGGCAGTGATATCCCATCATCATCAGTCACTTGTCACAGCTGACTATATAGTGTGACACCTGGGCACATGGATCCTTGAACCGTTCTCTAAGGATCCCCCTCTGTGCTCAGGTGAGTAGTATACCTCCCTTGTATTTGATAGTCTCTAAGGATCCCCCTCTGTGCTCAGACTCATGTGAGGTTGTTGTGTGCTGTGTGCTCTCTTCCTTTGGGCTGGCAGGAGTTGCCCTTACAGTCGAACTGCCTCGGGAGAGGAATGCTCGCATCCGCCGAGCACAGAAACAGGCTGAGAAGACCGGGGAGCAATCCGCACCTGTCGAGGGCAAGTCGAGTCCGCGGAAGACCGTGACACTCAACCTGAACACGTACAAGTGGCACAGTCTCGGCGATTATGTTGCATTTATCCGACTATTCGGAACTACGGACATCTACTCGACTCAGACGGTATGAGGCACAAACAAATTTCTCGATTGCATTGTTCACAAGCTTGATTCCAAAGGGCGAAAGTCTCCATCGACTTGTAAAACGAATCTACAGTGTGACAAATAAGCGAAAACACAAGGCGCAGATCGGTGCTCCCTACATGCGTTTAGCCCGAGCCCGTCTCGCCGCTCGCAAGAAGGTGGCTGCGGGACAGGCGCAGTTTCATCTTGTGGGACTTGACACGGTCGATCCCTTTGCTGCGACTCTAACGCCGGCAGAACTTCATCACCAAACGAGTAACGTACGTCGGAAACCTCTGGCATTGTCGGAATTCAGTATCAGGTCAGGAGATCCCGCGATGAAGGTCGGTTCTTGTTCAAGAGCAGATTGTTTTGATGTTGACATTCTCCAGGACTTGTGCCAAAGCTGAAGGATCATCTCCTTGGACGACTGAGGGAGTGTGATTTCGATGGAAATTCACATGAGGAGTTTACTGAGGCGGATCGCAACACGGTGCATATCAGTTATAGCCAGATATATTCGACAAAGACGCTACGAATCAACTACACGACGTACAACATTCGCCGGGATCAAGACGTTATCAATCCCCGACACTCTTGCTTCGTGATGGTCAAGTCTCCGGAAACCCAGCCTGGAGCTCATCCGTACTGGTACGCGCAAGTTCTCGCGGTATTCCACGCAGCGGTATCCGTCCAGCTGCCTGAGCTTCTGACAAGCGCGAAGCCGATGGAGTTCCTCTGGGTCCGATGGATGGTTGTTGTCCCAGGAACTCATACCGGTCCGAAGTTTGCTCGTCTTGCCAAGGTCGGATTCGTGCCAGAAACGGACGAGTACGCGTTCGGCTGCCTCGACCCCGCCCAGGTCATCCACGCAAGCTATCTCGTACCCGACTTCCAGAGCGGCCGCACACACGACCTTCTTGCTACACGAGAACCGACGGCGGCTCGTCCCTCTGGCAAGGATGGGGACTGGGAAAGTTATTACGTTGACAGGTTAGTCTGTGATAACCCTCGCAAATGTAGGTCTGACGCACTTATTTCCAGCTTTGCAGATCGCGACATGCATATGCGCTACATCGGAGGTGGTATTGGCCATTTGGATGGCGGCGGAGTGACAAATGACGATGGGGACGTGTCCGATGACGATGACGAGGAAGTCGAGTCGCTGGCAGGGCCGACTCCGACTCAAAACGGCAATGGAGACGACAGCGATGGTGAGGACAAGGATGACGAAGATGGCAACGAAGAACAGGAGGAGGATGAAGAGGAGGGGGATTGGGGGCTTGAGGACGGTGACGACGATGGAGAGGACGATACGGGCTACGCAGACTTTTAGAAGTACAGGGCAATACTGTCGCAATCGAACTGATACACGCACCAAAGTGACCTCTAGGCCTATTATGGCCGCCCGCAGATCCTGCGGATCTCGCCATGCACTGTGATCGCGCGTTGAGCGCATAGTCGACGGGTGAGGGCTGATGAGTGTGTTGGTAGCTAGCGGAGAAACGGCAAGCGAGTCGCCAGCTGGTGGATGGCTGTCGATCATTCAAACAGCTGGATGGCAGTTCATGATCCCTGATGCGGGGTGCGCCGGCAGGTCTTGGATCACAATCAGTTCATGATGCTCATCAGCCGTTGCCCGCGAATGGCTGATTTCCTGATGGTATGCAGTGACGATGATGGTTGTTACAACTTGCGGCTTGCCGCATTCCAAACTCGTGACCAATACCTCACGTGGTCTGACACCTGCCTTTCTTCCACTCGAGCCTCTTGAACGAAAGGCATCTGTGAAAACTCGGTTTCATTTCGATGGGAACCGCATCCCTCTCAGAACTGGCGTGCCCTGCATCCGCGGCGAAGTTCGACGTCGATCCGATATCGCTGCAGAGGGTGCTAGTGCCGCGCACCCTGGGGAGAGCCGACTCGGCCCGGATATGACAGGCAAGCGCGCACAACCACGACCAGGTATCGGTTGGCCCTGCCAGTACGACTTTGAGAATATCGGCGGGAGAACAGACGATGGCGTCACGTCACATCGTTCAAGTGCGACGAGCCTATCTGTCTGTGCTCTCCCCCTCTCGACACTATACGCCTGGCTGGATCTTCACGGCTTCTCATCTGCTCACTGAGATTCTTCGGCGACTCATCGACACATGTACGCCTTCTGGGACTCACGCTGTCCCACCTGGGCTTGATGCAATCTGTCTATCTCTTGAAAGCACCAATGGACTACGATGCCGTGGGATGCGCCGCCAGCCACAACTGACTCCATGCGAGCTTGGGTGTGTGAGTGAATCCACCACTCTGGCGCTGGGCGCTTAGTGGCTGTGAACCGGGGTATGGCTCGCGTAAGGCAGCGGGTATAAAGAAACGCCGCTCGAACATGAGGTAGGGCCCTCTACCTCCTGATTTCGACTATGCCGCAAGCTGACGAGCAACAGAACGAGAAACGAGATACCGATGAAGCGTTTTCCGAGCGCGAGAAAGCCATTGGGAACAAACTCTGGGGTGTCTACATCTCCGAGGCGGAGAAGTACGATCAAGGTCTCATCGATGGCTGGCGCAGCGACATGGATGGATTGCTGATCTTCGTACGTCTCCGACCATTCTCAATCCAACCTCTGCTTTCTGAATCTGACTGATCAGGCCGGTCTATTCTCTGGCGTCGTCACGACGTTCATTATTGACAGCTATAAAACGCTGAACCCCGACTCGGGGAGCCAGACCGTCGTGCTGCTGAACCAGATCTCGCAGCAGCTTGCGAGCATGAACAATAGCACGGCGGTGATGAACGCACTCCCTCCCGCCGCTCCCTTCTCGCCCCCGGTCTCAGCTCTCGTCTGCAATGCACTCTGGTTCGCCAGCCTCGGTCTCAGCTTATCGAGCGCACTCATCGCGACCCTGGTCGAGCAGTGGACGCGGGAGTACCACCACCGGACGTCGATGTTCTCCTCCATCTCGATCCGGTCACGCGTGTACATGTATCTGTACTACGGTTTGCGACGCTTTAGTATGCATGCCGTTGTTGGCATTCCCCCGCTTCTGCTGCACACATCACTGGTCCTGTTCTTCGCAGGTCTAGTGGCCTTTCTGGTACCCGTCAACGCGATCATCATGAGCATCTCCTCCGCTCTACTGGGCCTCTTCGTCTTGGTCTACCTAACGTTCACGGTGCTCCCGCTGTTTTTCTTCGACTGTCCGTACCAGACGCCACTCACACGGATCCTCTGGCCGCTGAAACAGAGCTTGGGACACGCGCTGAGGGCTTACCTTTGGAGGGCAGTGGGTGTTTGCAAGACCTATGTCTTGAAGAGAGTCCCCGTGACAGACCACGAGAAAGCCGTCGAATCTGCTGGGACGACCCCCGCGGCCTCTGACAAAGGTTCTGCAGCTGAAGACACTCTTCCGCAGTCCCAGAGCATGTTCGAAGCCATCAGATCAGAAGCGCTGCGTTCCACTGTCAAGACGGAGACCCGGGCACTTGCATGGACCGTCCGGTCTCTCTCTGGCGACGAGGAGCTTGAGCCATTTGTCGTGGGGCTCCCCCTGGTGCTGTGGGATTTCGAGACCAGCAAGCCTCATGGCGTGTACCGGGATCATTTCCACAGCTTGTTGCGGGATCCAAAAATCCATCTCTGCCAGCGTCTCGGCGATTTCATGGCTGGCTCCAACAACAACCTGCTTGAGGACAAAGTCCGCCTGCGCCGCCAGCTCTCTGTGCTCCGGGCCATCTGGGCCATCTGCGCGTTCTCTCTGCACACGGATTCGCCTCTGCCAAGTCCGATCGGAGAAGCGGACGTCGACAAGGCGCTGCTCGGCTCCAAGTTCCATGCTTCTCCTGACGTGCAGAGCATGATCCTTGACGTGACCGCTTTAATCCGTCTGAACATGATTGAGCATCGGAGCCGGGAGCGGGCCCCCACACAGCCGAGCAGTTCTGACGCCGAAGCGGAAGAGCAACGGCACGCAGACATGCATTGGACGTACACGGATTATCTTCTGACATTTTCCAAATGCGCTGCCAGCTTCCAACGGGATGCAATCATTTCGCTCTTTGATCGGTCACAAATGCGCTTCACGGAAGCGGATGGCTACAGAACTCTGTATTGGGCTCTCAGAGAGCTGATCGGATCAGCGTTGGACAAGGCAGCGGACGAGATAGCGGAGAACGTTATCTTTGCTGCTCGTCTGATGATCAGCCCGTTTGCCCAGATATCAGGATATCCAGAGTGGTCGCCGTTGCTGGAGGGTCTTGGGCCTTTCCTTGTCCGACATCCGTCCCTTGCCGTCTCCGACCCGGAATTCGACTCAAAGCATCATTACACCCGATTCCTGTGCTACATGCTATGTGGGAACCTTTTCAATTCAATTGATCCCCAGTCATGTGTCGACGCCCTCCAGCTGATTTATCGGGAATTGCTTAACCCTGATGTGTCACCAAGAGACTTGGATACCCATCTTTTGGTTCTTTGCACCCTGCGGACTGACGCAGCCAACATCCGCACGCACCATCTGGCTGCCATCGTCCAGTACATTGTGCTCAACAGTTCCAAGAGGGTTTCATCGGAATCGGAGCAATTGTTGAACATCTTCGATGACGACTACTGGTTCCGCTCCGTGCTCGGCTTTGACAGCGATGAACCATCGGCACAGCAAATTTACGACTGTGCACGTGTGGGTGTTTTCACCACTTTCCTCGAGCAGTGTACTTCCCGCAGTCTGGATCAAATAGAGCACGACCTGGACTTCAATACGCTCAAGAGGATACAGCACGCAGACATGTCGAGATCGACATGGACGCTATCCCGCGTTTCTTCGGTGATCCCAACTGGACTGCAACATCGATTCGCTGACGCTGTCTCCGGATTCATCCGCAAATATCTAGAGAGCTGTCTTGCGGAACGTGACGGGCTCTACTCGGTGATTCGCTGGGCCGTTCATAAGTACGACGGATGGATGACTAATGTGGATGCATTGTGCGTCCTGGAATCGGCTCTGTCGGAGGTGCAAACAGACAATCAGCAACTAACACACCGGGAGCGTGCTGGAGTGATCCGGAATTGGATAAAGAAGCGGCCTCTTCTGCCTGAGAACATTCCTGCCGCCTTTGTCCCGTTCGTGAGTGCGGAGGAAAGGCCGGACGCGGACATTCCATATCGGGTTGGTCCGGAATAGATCAAAAGTCGGCCGGACATTTCTGGTCTGAAAATAGAGTATAATCGAGCTCCAGAGCGCGGAAGCGGACCGGCATGGTGTAAAACCCGACCAATTTTGGCAAAAATATGACTTTAATATGGCCAAATCACGCAGTTTGGAACACTCGGAGCAGCTCTGATGCCGTTCTCGGTGGAGATCAAGGCCTGAATGAGGAAAATCAGCAATGCCATCACTCAGTGATAAGTGATAAGTGATAACTAGAAAGCGTCGCCCTTGGCGACTGAATGCCTTGCTTGAGTAACGTACAATGACATTGCATGCCCATGATAAGTATCTACACATACAGCTGATTTCAAAAGATTGGGTTCAGTTCGTTGAAATGCTGAGGGCGTGCTCACAAGTGAATCTACTATGAAAGTAAACCCAAATATAAACACGTTCACACTCCTCGTAATCAGCTTCTCAGTGTGTGAAAGATGCGAGGGCTTCGGGGTGGACAGAACACCAGTATCACAGCTCTCAATAGACGCAGATCCAATAGTCGCGGAAGACGAAGTCGACGACAAGGATATATATATATAGCAAACAGTGGTGTCTCAACCAATATCTTCTATACAAACACAACCAACACTAATCCAATCCACAACCAACAATATAACAAGTCAGAACTTAATACGAAGTATTAAGATCCCTTGTAGCGACAGCGTCCAGATGGTGACGCAAAGCCCAAATATCAAGTCGACGCACTGCCAACTGATACAACCAATATACTGAGTCGACGCACTGCCAACTAGTAGAACCAGAATGTCAAGTCGACGCACTGCCAACTGACACAACCAAAAGTACTGAGTCGACGCACTGCCAACTAGTAAACCAAGATGCCGCGTCGACGCACTGCCAACTAACAGCCAATATCCAATGTCCAAAACCCGAGCACAACTTGTCAACGCACTGCCAAGCAAGAAGTGTGGAACCAAAGTTCTCAAGTCGACGCACTGCCAACTGACCAAAACAACCCGAGCACAACTAGTCGACGCACTGCCAAGCTAGAGGTGTGGAACGATCTCAACAAAGCCCGAAGGCGACGACACCAAATGCCGCGACTAAACCAGATGCGGCGAATCCGACTCTCTGATGTCTCAACTCAAACTCAAATCACAGTAGCTACAAGTGCTCAGGGAGCAACTCGTCGCGACCAGGCAGGGATGGCAGAACTTCTTAGGGTGGAATCACGCGGCACGCAAATTGTACAAAACAATCTGAAATGAGAGTGATTCACAGTCCGGGGGAAAGCTTTTTAATACAAAGAGACGACGTGCTACTTATACTGTCTACGACGCTGCTTAGTAAAGTCCTGTACAACTGCATAGTAGCTACGCTATCTAAGATCGGTTGCCTTTTAGGGTAATTGAAAAGTTGAACGATCGGACAGGTCCTGAGTGATCAGGACCCCGCCCCATTGTCCATATGATACTTTTGATGTGGGTCAACCCACCGCGTCATACTTTGGAATACGACGTGCTGGATTGGCCAACGGGTATGTCTTGGCAAGTGAGACCAACGTGGGCGCCCCAAGAAGCCGTATGGCCCTAGGCACGCCAGTCGTCCCCCACATGGTTCGGTTCACGGATCTTACCGTGTCGGTTTCTAGTGTGTTTGGGTATGGGCGCGACTCGCCGTGACACTTGGAAGTGTCACCGCGACGCGTCCACAATGTCCCGTGATCGAATGGATCCTGACATGTGACAAGTCGTCGTCGTGGCATGATCTGAGGAAACGTCCAACTCAAAACCGGGAGTTGCCGCGACAAGATGGTTTAAGTCTTGTAACGCCAAGTCCTGTCCAGTAGTAGTTCTATTATTGAGAACGTCGCGCATTGCTCAGCCCTTCAGCCCAAGTTCCCATCTGCAGAGAATGACCCTTTTTGAGAAGTCGACGCAACGACAGATCCCTTTGTGGGGAATGGTCGCGGTCCAAGCGTTCGTCACTAATGGCCCTGAGCCTGGTATAGACTCATAAGACCAGTTCCACAGTAGTGGTCTGACTGCCTTGCTATCGTCGACACTATCCACAGTAGTTGACTGGGCAGTAGACCCATAAGTCCTACTGAGCGCAACACTGTTAACCGCGACACGATACACCGAATGGTTCAAGAGTAAACTCTGTAAAAGCGCAAAAATACGCCCTTACAGAGCTGGTGCAGAGCGCGTCTGGTAGCCAGCCTATCATCTCCCAGGAACACTAATTTTGACCTCCTGGTCAATCCCGCGACAGTCTCACTGCGTCAGGTCTAAGTCCAACAGTCGACGTCTCATTCATTTATTATTAAAGCCGCGGAGACATAGAGTTATGTTCCCACGTCTTATTCATTTGGTTGTTCGGTTCCTTCCGTGATCTGCCGCGATCAAACTTCTTCCGGCATGTTCACCATATAAATGCCCTCAATTTTCAGGGTCGAGAGTCTCCCTAGTACGAGACACTCTTGCTTTTCGACCACCATGTCCGCGCCCGACCAGAGTCCCCGCCCCCAAGACACCAACCGTGAGTGACGCCCAAGACGGTTACCGCGACTTTTCAACCACGCTAACCATCCATCAGCCGTCACCGAATCAGCTGTCCCGGGAGCAAACCTGCCTGCCATCGACTGGCGGCAGTTCATGCCGTCCGTCAAGGTCTCTCCCATGGCTTGTCGATCCAACTCACCACCTGCCTAGCCCCGAGGCCTACAACCAGATGTTGCGGCAGATGGCCGTCGACGTCCGCCAGATTCAGCAGGTGAGCTCCGTTCTAAGCCCGCTGGAGCGAGCAGTCACGGCGATCAATGATTGCCGCGCCTGTTCGCTTTGGCCTTCCATTCTTTTCACTAACGTAAGGGCTAGCCGGCGTCTACGCCCTTGACCACCAACGCTCCAGTCGAGGAGTCGTCGCCGCCGAAGAAACGCAAGCGAGTCGTCGAGCCCGTACGTATACTCTATTTCGTTCGTTTCACTATGTTCTGATCGACTCCCAGGCGGCTCCAACCGAACAAGTCGCCGCCCCTTCGTCGTCCCGGCCTGCCAAGCAGAAGGGGAAGGGTGACGGCTCCAAGCCGCAGGCCCCTGCCGCCGTCGCGGGCAGCAAGGTCGCCGTCGCCAAGAAGTCGAGCGAGAAGTCGCAGGGGAAGCGACCCAAGGCGACTCCTGCAAAGGAGCCCAAGGCGTCGTCGCATGCGCCTACTCGTAAGTGGCCTTTTCATTCGGTTCACCGAAGTCGCGGGCACTGATCTATTGTAGCCGCTACTCCGGTCCCTGTTTCACAGGAGGCACCCCCCAAGCGCGTCCACAAGAAGACGCACGTAGGTGTGTGATCCTATGTCTTATTTCATTGATCTTTAGACTAACCACTTGGTCCCTCCCAGCCCGGATCCAAGCACAGCCCGTGCAGCCCGAGTCCCTCAGCGATGAGGAAGCCGCCGCCGTCGCCGACACTGCGATGGATGTCGACGACGAGGGGGTCCAGGAGGGAGACGCGTCCTCGGCCGACGAGCTGGCCCTTCAGGTAAGTGACCCAGTTCGTCGATCGCGGTTCCTTCGTCTCATGGTTGGTTTGTTTTTGACAGGGGCCCAAGTCCAAGGGGAAAGCGCGATCGAATCTGAGTACGTTTTTCCTCTTGTCCCCCTCTGTCAATTACTCATACTTTCGTAGCCCCGTCCGTCATTGTCATGGACGACACTTCCGAAAGTGGGGAGGAGACCGGCGACTTCGTCGTGGCCAAGAAGCAGGTCAGCGAGACCCGCGTCAAGCCCAAGGCGAGCCGACTCCTTTTTCCCAGACCACGCCCCTTAATCCAGCTTTTTAGCCAATCAAGAAGGTCACGGATGGATCATCCAAGTCGACCAAGTCCGTGCCCCACCAACCGGTGCCAAAGGTGGAGGCCAGTCGCAAGGCGAGCGCCCCGCGAGCGACGACTACCCCGACCCCAGTGGCTAAGGTGAGACACTAATCTTGAGTTCCAGACGTCGACTAACTCAATTTTCTTTCTTTTCTAGGTTGTCCAGGCGGCTCCCGCCGCTACCAAGACTCCACGCAGTGAGTTGGGCAGGGTGGCCGCGACCCTTGGTCGCGAGCGGAGTGTTGCTGCGGCCAAGGCCGAGCTCAAGGCTCAGAAGGCAGAAAAGTCCGTTGCGGCGGCCAAGAAGAAATCTGACTCGGTGAGTCGCGACTTTTTCTTGTCGTTGACTTTTTACTGACTTGACTGTTTCTAGACTCCTGCGAAGGCGTCGGCTCCCACGCCCCGAGCTCCGTTCACTCCCGCCGCCTACGACACCGAGGCGCTCCTTTCGGTGGCACGCCAAGGGTTCGCGGGGAAGTTGGAAAGGGCCGGCGTAGAGGTGCCCACTGACTTCGTGCGTTCTTTTATCTTTTTCTGCCATGCCTCGACGACTGACTCCCTTTTTCATAGGAGGTCGCGCCAAGGCCCTGCGCGATGTGCGTGACGCGGCAGCGCGTCTGCTTCAAGAGCGTCGACGGGCGCCACGGCAATCGGTGCGCCCCGTGCGTGCTCTATAAACAGACTTGCACCAACGGCTACAAGCCCGCGGAGCAGCTGTATATGGGGCAACGCTTCGGGTACATCGCGCAGATGAGCGCGGACAGTAAGAGTCCACTCTTATCATTCATTTCTATTTTTGATCGTTTCTGACGACGTCTTCAGATCTCAACAAGTCCGCCAACCGTCTCGCCGACACCTTGGACGCGTACGGCGGGCTTCTTCGCACGGCCAACGAGATCCGCGTCCTGGCCATTGGCCAGTTCCGTGATTTCGTTGGTCAGCTGAAGGAGCACTTCGACGACGGCTCGGACGAACGCATCAAGGCGATGTTCGTCCACACCGCGACCGAGATCGACGCCGCCGAGATGGCCGACATCCGTAAGGGTGTTCGGATGATCTTGACCCACGGGGACTTGTTGGATGGCGAGGCGAACGAGCGGTTCGCGGCACCCCCTGCCTTCTTCGATCCATTTTTCTATCGCGAGAT